GAAGGAGCTCAATATGCGCCAAAGAAGATGGTTGGAGCTTGTGAAGGATTATGATTGCAATATCCAATATCATCCGGGGAAGGCGAACGTGGTAGCAGATGCCCTAAGTCGAAAGGTAAAGGGTGGATTGTCATGTTGTATCACTCAACAGAATCAACTTATTAAAGAGTTTGCTCGGATGCAGATTGAAGTTGTCAAGACACTTCCTAAGGAGGTTACTGGAAGGGTTAACTCAATGAGAGTTCAGCCCATGCTGAGAGAAAGAATTCGGAAGGAGCAATCTTTTGATCAATTTGTTCGGAAGATGGAAGAAAAAGTTCAAGCTGGATGAGTAGAAGGATTTTACCAAGGTTCCGATGGAGCATTGGAGTTCAGAGGAAGGATTGTTGTGCCAAAAGTCGAGGCCTTGCAGAAGGAGATCTTGACTGAAGCACATAGTGCACCATATTTAGCTCACCCTGGAAGCACCAAAATGTATCATGACTTGAAAAAGTCGTTTTGGTGGAAAGGGATGAAGAGAGATGCAGCAGATTTTGTGAAGAAGTGTTTGGTCTGTCAGCAAGTTAAGGCCGAGCACCGGAGTCCACTAGGCCTATTGTAACCAATAGAGATTCCTAAATGGAAGTGGGAAGAAGTTACCATGGATTTTGTTACAGGGCTACCTAAGTCATCAGAACAACATGACGCGATTTGGGTAGTAGTAGACAGGTTGACGAAAGTCGCTCGTTTTATGCTTGTATCAATGACTATGTCGATGGACAAGCTAGCAGAAATTTATACTCGTGGAATTATTCGACATCATGGAGTGCCTGTCACAATCATATCTGATCGAGATCCTAGATTCACTAGTAATTTTTGGAGAAGTTTGCATGAAGCAATGGGTACGCAGTTGAGTTTCAGTTCGGATTATCATCCAGAGACAGATGGCCAGTCAGAAAGGACGATCCAGACACTTGAAGATATGCTCAGAGCTTGTATTCTGGATAGAGGTTCCAAATGGGAGAAGTGGTTGCCGTTAGTGGAATTTGCCTACAACAACAGCTATCATTCATCAATTAGAATGGCTCCCTATGAAGCACTTTATGGCCGCAAGTGTCGTTCACCTCTTTATTGGGACGATGTTGGAGAGAAGCAAGTACTTGGCCCAAAGATGATTGAAGAAACTATTGAGCAAGTAGCCTGGATTCGAGAAAGACTCAAGACTGCTCAAAGTCGACAGAAGTCTTCAGCAGATAAGCATAGGCGAGAAATGCAATTTGAGGTGGGAGATAAAGTCTTCTTGAAAGTTCGACCTATGAGAGGGGTTATTCGTTTTGGGAAGAAAGGAAAGTTGCATCCTCGCTATATAGGTCCGTTTGAAGTTCTTGAACGGGTTGGAGAAGTATCTTATCGATTAGTTTTACCTCCTGAGTTGGCAAGCGTGCATAATGTTTTTGATGTATCGATGCTGCGTCCATATGTGTGCGATCCAGATCATGTGTTGTAGCACAATGAGATACAAATTCAACCAGATTTGACTTATGAGGAGAAGCCGGTAGCAGTTTTGGACCGAAAGGTTCATAGACTCCAGAAGCGAGATGTTCCACTTGTTCGTATCAAGTGGAATCGACATGGAGAATCAGATGCCACTTGGGAACGAGAAGCAGATATTAGAGCTCGATTTCCAGACTTCAAGTTTTCATGATCTCAGTAAGTTTCTATTTCCAGTTTCAATATTTCCGAGGGCGGAAATAATTTAAGGGGGGTAGATTGTAATATCCCATTCAGTTAAGTATCAGTTTATCTTCAAAATCGAGATATTTTGAGGGTAACTAAGTTAAGAAATTGAAGTTTTTAAGTCACACGGGTCGTGTGACTCAAAGTATCATTCAAATTAAGTTTCGACCTTGTCACACGAGTCGTGTAACCAAGTCACACGAGTCGTGTGAGCTCACACGAGTCGTGTGACTTGTCACACGGGTCGTGTGACCGACATAAATGATCAGATTGTCATTAATGCATTTTTGGTGGCAACTAAAGTTATTTTTGAGCATTAAATTACGAAAATCTGAGGTGTAAATGTTAGGTAAGGATATATTTAAATTGATTAATTTTTACAAGTTTAAATTGTTTAATTTGTTAATTTCTACACTTCAAATAAATTATTCCAAAATTTTGGCTATAAATAGGGCCTTTAGAATCTGAAATTTTCACACCAAAAATATTTCCAAGTTATATAAGTGCTTAAGGAGTAATAATTATAGTAAAGTGATAATTATAGTGGAGGGAGAAAATTTAGAAGTGGAAGGAAGAAATTTTTAAGAGCAAGTCCTTGAAGGAGGTAATTCACTTATGTGAAAATTCATGCTCATATTAAATTCATGGTCATCTTGATTTCATGTTAAATAAGTTGTTAGTATGCATGTTTAAGTGTTATGATTGTTATGTTGAGTTCAAGTTGTTATATGCTTTAATGATATAAGGATTATTTAGTAAGATTTTTGATAGAATTGAGATTTTGATATAATTTGAAGATAGTATGCAAATTGATATTATGATATTAAGATGAGAAATGATTAAGTGGTATATATGATTTATTTCATGTTAAAATATTTAAGACTAATGAGATATTTATGATGAGTAAGTTGATAAAAGTATAAAATGTTAGAACACTCATGATAATTGATATACAATTTTATAAATTGTTTAAGTTTTGGTGTTATGATTTAAAATTGAGTCTTCAGAATATCAATTAAGACAAGTTTAGTAAGTTATAATTCATGAGGATGATGTTGGTAAAGGATAAGTATATTTGAGTTATGTATAATTTGATGCCAACATCTAAGTGTTATCAAGTATGATTAATATGAGTTATGGCATTGAATAAAAGTTGAAAAGATTTAAAGTTATTCAATGAAATTATTTGAGATATAGCATGTTTATGATTCAGATAAGTTATAAGTTAACAGTTAAAG